CTGGTTCTTGGTCCTTCAAAGCATCTTGAAAACGTTTGAAAATCTCTGCTCACCTCCAATTGCACGTGCACTAACCGTTAACCCTGTCTCCCAAAAGTTGTGCGCCTGCCGGTACCAAAGCGGTGCTGGGTTGAAAATCCAAAAGCTGACCCTGTCCTTGGCCGCCTTAAGCCCTTCAGCCGCATCTTCGAGCGCCTTTCGCTTCTTGTCGCTCTTTTCGGGCTTCTTGTTGGGTGCCACAACGATGGCAAAGGCTAAGTTCAGACCTCAGGGAACACTGATTGAGGTGCAAAATGCTGCAAGCTAGCTGGATGCTAAGCAAGTACAACACCTTTTCAGAGAAACAAGAAATCCCACAGAACTTGAGCATCTCTTTGTATCACCCCCAGTCAATACCTCTTTGTTCCGGTACATGTTTAAAGCGGTTTGTCATGCTGTTGAGGAACACCTAGAGATTGTGGCTGGAGCAGGCAGCTGAAATGTCCAAGAACTGCAGGTGGGCCCACCAAGGCAAGCCAGCAACCAACAAGAAGTAAGAAATATATACACTAATGCATACTATATGCCGTATTCACTGCATCCAATTTTAGCCATATTCACGGTAGAAGTGTCCAAATTCAGCACCAAACACTGACCCATGACAAAGATCTTCGCTTTCTTCACTTCGAACTCCAACTCTTTGCGCATCAGGAACTGACACTCGTCAGAGTGTCTTCTACCTGCCTCTTGGCCTCCCAGCGCAGGGAAGCAACCTCAGTCTGTATCGATTCGGGCCCAAGCACGGCCTTCTGTGGAACGGCGGAAGAATCTCATGCCTTGGCCTTTCAGTGTCATGAATTATTCAAAACATCTTCATCCTAGAAGCACAGTTCGAAGATTTCTGGGCACCACTCAAGTAAAGCAAATGCCTTTTCGGATCACCTAGTGACCTAGTCAAACCGATTTTGGGCTTCAAGACACGTTGTGTGTACTCAAAGTGTTGAGCAACAGATAGCAGCGGCACAGGACCAATTGCGATGGCCGACCAGGGACGTGGCCGGGCAAAGATCAGGAAGATGGATTTTGAATGGACTTCTTTGAAGGTCACAGCTCCCAGTCACTCCATGGCACTGCCATGACGGACTGCCGAGAGTTCAGGTGAGAGGTGGTTGTTTTTGGGGGGTCTGTCTGGGGCGGCATATATGTCCCACGGAGTGTCTGGGGCTTGTGGATTGATTACTATGGGCCGGGGTCTTGGTTATGGCCCGTTATGGCCGTTTCAAGATCTCATTCGGACACCACACCGACCAAAAATTGGGAGCATCCTTATGGAAGAAATTCCCGACCTCAATGATAAAAACAAAATTATCAGCTGATACTTGGAGGAGCCGCCATTCCAAAAGCCTTTCACATCCAAGGCAAAATATGCCAACCAAAGTCTACAACCATCAAGCAAGCAAAATCAGAAAGCCTCGACAAATCTGACCAATCCGAACAGATCTGAACCGATCTCACATATGTTGACACTTCCTTCAGCCATATTTCTGACATATATGTTGACACGTCTTTCGATTAAAAAAGAAACATCTCAACCTCTTCCCTCCATCTCTTCCGGTCCCCGGGCCGCCGTCAATCGCTCCGGCTCAGTGAGGTCCAGCTGGGCGGCCGCCTTAGGGAGACCCGATGGTCATGGCACCAGGATCATGTAGACTCTTGATGTATTAAAAGACCTCCCACATTTAGGTTGAAAGACCTCTTCCGGCTTTAGGGGTTGTATTACATCATGAAGAGTCTATATCATATATGGTCATGGTCCTGGTTTTGAACAGAATAGACTATTTGAATTATCAACCTAGCAGGAACTTGTTGGTCTGGCTTCGCAGCTCACATGGCTTGGTACCGAAGAGACTCCCTGAAATACTAGAAAAACGTCCTGGAAATGAAAAACAACTGGCTATGTTTCTAGAGGAATTATTGTTTTAAGGGAGTGTAATTGGGGAATTCAATTCCGTTTTGTGGCATGTCGTGTACAGCACAATCCCCACTTAAGGAATCCATCTCGCAGGAACACGGTCTCTGTCCTGAGGCCACTACAATCGCTTGATCGTGGTAGAAGGGGCAAGCAGAACCTGCAAGTCGTGCCATTGGTGACATCAACAAAATCACATGATCTTCTGGACAAACCAACGTTGCCATCAATAACGAAAAATGATGAAACATGTTCAAAGGCACCATCACCGTGCCTTTGGTGCATTTTCCCTTGGCCCAGAACCTGTCCATCCAGGCAAAATTCACAAAAACAAGATCTACATCAGCATCATCCACTCAGAAGAGTCCCTTCGACAAATCGCCCAGCCTACATGCTGCATCTTTGGCCTCGGTGCTGCCGGTGCGCTTGCCCGCCGAAACGCACAACGCAGTTCGCTGGCCGCTCAGCTTCCGGCAGAGGAGGAGGACGGGGTGTTCGGATCTGGCGACAATTTGTTGCTACGCCCTGCCCCCCCCCGACGTCACAAGGTTCCTTTGCGCCAAAACACCAGTTGACATGCACACAATCCAAGAAAGCCTGTGAGCACAAGGTCTGGTGGTCTTCCAGGCAAAAACAACAATTCAAATCGTGGTTGTCCATGATACAAGTAAATACATTGACATCATCGTGAGAATTCAAGCCCAGCCTGTGGTGGGCTCGACCTTATACACGAATTCTTCTTCATTCATCTCCATATCAAGCTCCCAAAAATCCGAACATTAAAAAACACATGGAAAATAACGACAAAATATAAACAAGTCACCCAATCTCTTCAGATCATGCCATATCATTTGGTTTCGCAAGGTTTGGTCACCTGCTCGGGCGCCCCTACGAGTGGTGGTGCACGCAGAAGAGCTCCGATCTGTGTTGCAGGAAGGGGAGGGATATGGCGGTGTGGCCAAGCTGTGGGATGGCATGAAGATTCAGGGCAATCCATGGAATCTGCATGGGCGATTGCATGTGCACCCTCGAACGAAGATTTCAAGGCCTACGCCGCTACACCATGTCTACACCATGTTGAAGTCTCCTTTTCGGACGAGCATGTTCAACATCTTTACATCATCTGACCACCTCTCAGCAGAGGCCTGAGGCCTGCAGGTCCTGCATTGAAACAGGATGTCTCACAACATGCAGGTCACCAACTTGGCATCTGGCTGACTTGCTGCGAAGTGCTTGGCCCAGGAGTGACCTTAAACCATTGTAGACGGATTACGTCGATCCTTCAAGGGTTTTCATGTTGGTTTGTTGGATGCTGAGGGCGTGTTTGAACTGCCATGATACATTCCACACCACTGTCGCATGATTCTTCGCGGCAACAGTGTGAGGGTTCAAGCAACATCGTGGATATTCCTCAGTGTCCAGCCCTAGAAAGGTGCATGCAGCAGCCTCAGGAAACAGTGCGGAAGATACGCTGTGAGCTCTTTTTTTCAGATGTCCAAGTAGCTGAACAGAAGGAACACCTGAACATACCTGAACCTACTTTTGCGGACTCCCACTTGGGCACACAGCACATGCGCCCCCCCAAAAAAAGACTTCCAAACTACCACTCCGCACCCGATTCCCGATTATGATAAGATGTCGTGCTCAAAAATCCGAGTTCTTAGTGTCTATAGTGCTACGATTCTGGTGGTGGAACCACGAAACCGGCACACAGAACCGGCACCTTAAGAGGTGGTCGTTGGGAGGATGTCCAGCATTCCATGAAGGCTGATGGCTTCTGTTGGAGATCTTAGATCGAATCGCTAGCTGATCGATTCAGAACATACCAACAGAGGTTGAAGAACCCTGTAGGCTATCCCATAGGTACCCCAGTAGGGTCATATTTACGGTCACTTCACCTCTCTTGCTATGGCATGTCGCAATATCGCTGGCTCTCTCTCCAAGCTCCTCAGGCTGCCCGGCGTCCGGCCGCAGCTGCCATTCCTCCAGGCGACCGAAGAGCTGCTCGGCCGTCGGAAGGTCACCCACCTCACGTCCAGCACCGCAGCGGAGTCCAGCGGCTGAGGCGGAGGCTGGCTGAGGCCACCAGCTCGAAGACAACTGCGCAGAAGTGTGTTGATCAAACCTGGGCGTTTCGGCAGGGAGCAGGGCAGGTTCAGCAAGAATTTGCTGTTGGCAGCCGATAGATCTCCTCCTCTTCGGGCTGAAGGGTCAGCGTCCATGCTTCTAGGGACGATACATATATATATATATAGATAGATATAATCCTCAGTTCATTGTCATGTTCTATATTCTCTCTCTATCTGAATATAGATGTACATGTATCATGTGTATATATATATATATGTGTGTGTGTGTGTGTATGTATATACATTAACATCTGTAGCCCTCCCCCCAACCATCATGGAGGTGGACAATGGCCCCTGAAAAAACAATTCTCCTCTAAAACACACGGGGTTGTCCACTTCCATAATTCAGCAGTGAAGGTTGTTGCGTGAACTCAGTTCAATTATGTCAAACGATTGTTCTTCCTTGGACCTGTTGTCATTTCCAAGGCTGCCACGCAAGTCGGGCTTCACCTTGGTGGGGTCATCTTCTATGGCGTGGCCTCACAAAGCCTCTCGACCTATGGCCAACTCATGGTGTGTTAGTGCTGTGTGCGCAGTGCATTGCGAATAAATACATCGTTTTGGGCTTCCATGCCGGGTGGAGGACTCGAATCAGCTAGAAGCTGCGAAAGCTAGCACTTGCCAATAACAGGGTGTGTTTTTTGGCACTCCCTGGAAGCATCATGGAAGTGGAAAACCAGGAAGATAGTCATCCAAGGGACCATTTTCCACTTCCATGTTAATTCCGGGGAGCGTAGACAGTGTAAACCAGGCATTCCCAGCAACTCCGAATTCATCTACTTCCATGCAAACACACCCAAGCCACCCCTCAATGTCCCAAACAGCCACACAGCATTGCGGGATCTCGTGGGTCTATGTGCGTCGTGGTAGCTTGCGCCCCGTCGAACGGCCCGGTCGGTGCGGTCCGGCCGTTGCAACTGCTGCAAAAACGCCCACTGTCCCGCGCACCCCAGCTCATCCCAGCTCCCGCTGCCGGGTTCTTTGTTCCCGACTTGTCACGGTCGGTTTGTGAGTAACGTCAGCTGTCCCGGGCGGCGACAGCGATGGGCTTCACGGAATGAGCGTGCAAGGTAAGCAAGCCGAAGACCTCATGGGAACGGGATCTGGATTTGGCGATGAGGAATCTTCTCAAGATCCCCCCAAAAACAATGAAAAGGAACGAGATGGGAGAATGAACATCAGGAAGAATCTCAAAATGGTCACACCCTGTTGTTACCCAGGCAATGCAAGTCAGTAGCGTATCTTGGATTTTTGGGAGTCGCAGAATGGAACGGTCCAACATGTTGGGGGTTGGCTTGAGCCAAGACCATCCTTGAAACAGGCAGCCAAACCCAAGTTCCTCAACCAGGCCAGCTCGAGGAATGGATCTCCTGTGTCCAATGGGGCTGTGTCTCCCTCCCTCTCTGTCTCTGTCTCTTTCTCATGTCAATTATCCCTCCAAGAGTTTTGGCAACTAAAGGGCTTGGTGAGCAGAACCTGCTACACCTCGTGATCATCAGGCTGTATTGTAAAGAAACGCGACTGTATGAACTGGAGGGTATGCCTTGGAATCATGCGATTCTCGCGAGGTTCTTTTCACCCCAAGGCTTTGGGCTTTGGCGATTTGAGCTCAGCCATTTTGAACGCCGAAGTCAGAACACAAGTGACACCACACATCACCGAACCATCATGCGCTCCAACAAGCACTGGTCTCGAGGAATATTGAACAAGGTGGCAGCCCTAATTCTGTTACTGCAGCTGCACTGCAGCCCAAGCACAAAACAGGAGGATGTTTTGACTCCTTGCCACAACCGGCTATATTCCAAATGATAACTTGCCACTCACTTTCGCGCCCCACTTCTGGCCCAAGCAAGCTGGGGCGAGTCACCAAAATTTTGACCAAGAAGTTCATGCACCAAATCAGCCTCACGTCAATTAAAGGGCACGGTAATCAGTTCCTCCAAGTTGTCAAGTCTAGAGTCTAGAGTGTACACACTAGTATGAAGATGACGTCCAACACTTGGACTTCAGAGCTTCATGCATGCAGAAGAGAATGGTTCCCCCCATCGTGGGTCTTGACCCCAACAACTGAAACCTTTGGCAACACCCGTGGCTGTCAGCCCTCTAAGGAATGAATTCTTAATGCTCGAGCAATCCCGCAACTAAAGGAATGCCGGGCGGTGTGGAGTGTCTGGGTCGCTGACATGGTCTGACCAGCTCTGGCGCCAATAGAATGTGGGAATACTCAAAGGAGGGGTGATGTTTTTTGGTTGCGGGATTGTCATGGGTCATATGATGCATTTGCCCCATTGCTCTCTTGTACCATTGCTCTCTTGTAGGTCCTATACTTTACATGTCGATGCAAATATAGTCGCACCCAAACAAAGGTCAAGCAACTCGAAGACAAAGAAGAGCAGCATCAGTGCATGTAGCGCCACAGTCCCGGCCACACCTGCAGGGTTGCAGGTGTTCACATATGAGGCGATCTGCGCTATGTGCATCAACGCAGGAAGATCTTCTCAAAGAGTTCGCGTGGCTCAAAATCCTCGATGACCATCCACTACGTCTACTACGTCTGCGGCTTGACTTCAACCAACGTACCTTCAAACTGCCAACAGCTTCTACCCACTTTTGATCTACGCACTTCCATCCAGATTGATTCCCCAACTCGTTCGACTCGCAAGCGACCCAAGAACCTACAGGAACATCAGTTCGAAACAGAGACATCGGGACATCAAAGGATCCTTTTAAAGGGTCAGTTGCTTTCGCCAACTGATCAAGGAACAAGCTTAAAGCATACATCCCAGACACGACCTGTCTGGGACTGCCATGTCGGACTGCCCCAAAAAAAAGACCCCCAAAAACCACCACCCCACCCGGAACTCGAAACGGCCGTCCGTCCCATGAGTCGAGTACACCTCTGGGGCCCCACACGGAACTTCACCGGACACTGGCTCAAAGGGACTTGTGGCACCTTCGAGCCGGTCGAGTCGCGGCGCTGCGAGCGAGCGCGAGCGAGCGACTCAAGGAAGCGTCTAGAGTCCAGCGTCTTCCGCGCAATCCATGGACATGGGGGGTTGTTCATCAAGAGTCTTTTTTTGACTACATGATGATGGGTGGAAAAATCAAAAGGATGCCACCCCAGTGATGGGAGTTGACCACATTGGTGGGTGAGTGGCTTCAAAATGGTGCGGTGCAGGACCAGTGAAAGCAGTTGGGGATGGGAACATCCTGGCAGCTCGACCAAGCTCAAAAGAGCTCGTGCAACGTTCCACACCATCTTCAATCTCCAGTTGGCAAACCTTGACAGCTACAAAATGCTTGCTTATATGTTGCTATCACCTTCGAGCTACCTCAGCATATTTATATATATATATGTAAGTTAAGTATCAAACTTGGAGTTGTTCTAGGTGTTTTTGAAGCGTTGGCTTTCCCCTTCCCTTGCACTGTACCTGCTCCAAGGTCTCCAGTGGGACCAAGAGGGACACCGTCCTCAGGAGCGCGGGCGGCTGCTTTTGCGCTCTCGGCTCTCTCCTCCCCTGTCCTGACTGGTGCGACTCGTAGGGACAAAGGGAAGTTTCGCTCCCAATAGAGATTCCTTTGGATCCAGCCACCTCCATACCCGACTTACTCAGCACAAGTCAGTGTCTGGTTCGCACAAGCTTGGTCTTCAAAAGACTGTATTGCAAGTTGTCGCCTTCAATCGATTGTCGCCTGTACTCGGTTGCCGAACTTTCAGGAGAGTCCAAAGCATGTGAGAAGGACTGCGTTTTGGCCTGCAATATCATGTCACTCTCTCAATCCCGCGTCAAGAGCAGAGCACAAAGCACTGGCTCTGGAACTGTAGGCTCTACATCAAGTCAGTGTCCCCCAAGAAGAACCTGCAAAGAAGAGTGAGGTCCCGCAATGCCGACATTGCCCGCAAATGTCCCGGATGCCAAGGGTTCAGCCATGCGCTGCGCCAAGAGTCTGCCACAGGACCAGCCAAGGTAGACATGCAAAATATGACCGGAACAAGAAGGCGTGGAGCATCCCAAGCACCTGCCGCACCGTGCGAACGACGTGAGTGCCAGCTGAGCAACTCTTGGAAGAACTGAGGGTGGAGCCCAGATAGATAGAAACGATGTCCAATACATGTTTAAAAGCGCTTTAATGGATTTGACTGTGTCTATCTCTTGTAATATTATGAGTCTGGATGAGAAAAACACATCACCCGTACACCGGTGGGAGTACACCAAGCTGCACCAAGGCTCGCCGAATTCGATGAACCGAGGCTCCAACGAGCAAAATGTGGAGGTACTGCCTGGGAGGTACTGCCGAGGCATGCCATTCGGTCAATTCAATGGGGGAAAACGGATTCAAGCGACCCCTTTCTAGATCAGAATGTGTTCGTCCATATCCTTCCTGAAACCTGGCTCGACCTCCATGATGGTCACTAATATACTGCACGAGCTACCGGATGCGATCTTTTCCCGTTTATGTATGTTGTGTTTGCAGCATCTGAGTTGTACATACGTGCGGACCTGCCTTCATTCTACCGATTTGGTAAGACGACTACTGCTGGGTGGCTCCACGGGGGGTACATCCTCGATCTTGCTAGCAACAAGTCACCATTTCACCGTACACCTTTGTATGGTGTTAGACTGTTAGACATCATGATCTTGCTACATTTCAATGAGCAAAACACCATTCACCGTATACACCGAAATCCCCCACTCCGCCGAGCCGCAAGTATCCGCCCCCCCCAACTGCTTGCTGCGTCCGAGCAGCGGCAGAAATTCCGACAAGTTGGCCATGATCCTGGAAGGAGCTGCGACCGGTCGCTGATCGGCCGCTGAAAACGTCAGAAGAAAGCTAGCAGCTAAGGGAGGGTGTGTGGAGAAAGGGGGGTCAACGCTACTCTTCCGTTTGCCTCTGATCAGAAAGTCACAAGCAGTGAAAAAAACATTGAATCGTCTTGGGAAATATATGGAAATATGATCACATCCCTGCATCTTGAAGCTTCAAGTGGATGAAAGGTATCGAAAAAGCACGTGCTCGCAGTTGGAGTTGGAGGCCATTGGAGAATACAAAGCGCATAAGATTCAAAGAAGCAGGCACATCCTGAGATCTCCTGCGTGCTTCGCACCTGGTTTCGGGAATCCCTGATTCACCCCACGAAAAATCCAGTGACAGACTTGGCTGAATCAAAGCAAACCACCCCACACCGCCTGTGTCTCGTCAGTCACATACTCCCCCCTAAGTCTACATCCCAATTCCTCGGCACGAAGAACAAGTCTCCTGTCCATGCTTGGACTTCCTCGCTTGCTCTTCCGTGGGCCCCCATCCACTTCCAACCTCAGCGCCACATTCAGCGCAGCTGGGTCGGCGCATCGCTTGGGTCGGTGACGACCATAGTCCACGCAAACGGTGCGAGTGGGCTTCGTATTGCACATGACCGGGTGGGATGCTCTAGAAACAAACTTTGCAACTGATCCAAATATGACTTAGACTCAGACTCGAAATGTTGTTCCAACTCCCAAGGATCCAAGCAATGGAATTACCTCTGAAGTGGCAACACCAAACCCACCCCGCTTCCCACTCGTTTTTGGTTCTTTCTTTGCGACTTCGGACTTCTGCATCGACTGAGAGCCCTCGCTGGCTGAGCGCCTTCCATTGGGCGATCGCGTCCTGGCGCGGGCGGACGCGCGCTCGGATCTCGTAGGTCCCTTTCTTGGAGCTGGAGGGAATGGATGGGAATGGGCCAAAGAAACTGGTCCAAATCTGGATAGTGAGATCATTCCAGGTGATTCCAGTGCACCTTTAAAAGCATTCATGGAGAAAAATTTTGGGCCCAACACAAAAGGGCCGATGACGACCAGTTCGAGAGCGGGATTCTTTCAGAACCAGGTGTTCCAAATACAATATCCCCCAAAAATAACATCAAACAATATGTTGATTCACTAGTGGACTGACCACTAGTGATCACTTCTTTTCGATTCTTCACCTCTCTGTTCACATCTTTTCCTCATTTTTCCTCCACATTCCTCCACCAACAAAGCCCTCCCCGTCTCGCGCCACGGATCGCTCCACCTCCGCCGCTCTCCGAGACGCCGCAGCGCCTCGCCGCTGAGCGGACGCGCCAGGCCCAGCGGGTTGGACCAGGCCAAGCGGGTCGTCAGCTCGGCGAAGGCGTCCGACGGGGAGCCGGCGCCCGAGCGCTCGGCCTGCTGTGGGTGGCGGAGCACGGAGCGGAGCGGGGGGGGGGGGTCGAAAGAAAGGGACGGGTACTGGCCATGGTGGACCCCAAAAAGTTATAATAGCGGTTCATGCATGGTCATTCTAAAAGCAACTCAGATCTATATAAGATTTTGTGGTGATCAACCTGGACATCCTGGACCTGGTGAATTTCCGGGTGTCTACAGCATCCGCGCCAAGCAAACCTTTTTGGACAGGTCCAAGGTACACAACACTTTGAGAGGATGCCATGGGTCCTTCATATTGGTACAGTAACAGCTTTTGGTTGATTAGGGGGCCCATACTAAGCTTTCTAATGCCAGTGCAACCTTTTTCCGAGGACTTCTACTTAGGACCATCCGGACCATCCACTCCTTCGCGGCCTCCGCTTCTGCGGACTCCTCGCGTTGGAAAGGTGAATTCTTCAGTAAGGGAGACGCTCAACAGCAACATCAGGCTCATGGCACTTAGGAGATCCATTGTCTGCAGCCAAATTGAGCATTCTGGCATGGGAAAAGCCAATGTCATCCATCTATCTATAAGCCTATTGCTTTCCATGTTCTCCCATCTGTCCTTCTCCTCAGCTGGCTCCTGATCGCTTCAGCTGGCCATACTATGCCAAACGTAGGCTGGCATGATCGGCCCTGGGTTGTATCATCCAAAATACCCTTGGTTGCCCCTCTCCATGATGAGATGAATCGGAGGAAATCAAGGAAACTCCAATCAGTTGACCAGCTGCGATTTGTCTTCCACTATCAACTGAATTGCGGGCAGTGATTCAATGCAACTTCTTTTCGCACCCTCATGCATTCATGGGACTTTGAGTGGGGTGATGGACGGTGATGACGGCCTGCATGTTGATTCAGGAGCATGAACCGTCGAGCGGATTTCCATCCGCCAACCCAACCACACCACATCGTCCATGGCTGCGGATCGTCGGAGCGTGTCCTTTGCTTTCTCTTGGGTGGCGTCCTGCAGCCCATGCAAAGAACTGGACGACACATGCTTCATCAAGAACCCTTCCCCTACTACATGGCTTTCATAGGAGGTTACATCACCTGTGGAGCTCTGGATGATTTTGGGATGCCTCATGATGCCTCTGATTCTGTCTATAATGTAGTCACAGTTGAAGTGAGTCAATCCGAGCCGTCTCTCCAAACGCCTGAAACTGGATATTTGGTTGGCCTATCTACTGCAGTTTCAGAGTAGATTGCACAATCCCCACAGTCGGTGGTTTCTATGGTGATCAACTGCGTACATGTGGAGTGCCTCTGCTGCCCGAATCTTGAACTGGCAAGCTAAGCTAGATATTAAGCCCAGTACATGTATATAAAAGGAATCACAGCACATGAGCAACTTGTCAGAGTCAAGTTTAAGCTCAGGAAACCTAAGCTATCTCCTACACCTCTACCTCGCTCTCAGTCTGTCTCCAGCGTCCCCCTGCCACGGCTGACTGCATGAAAGGGTTTCAAAGCAATCCCAACCAAATGCGGTCGCCCAAAAAGAGGCTCCTGATTTCAGGAAGGAAGAACCCCATAGAAGTCCTGTAATTGCCATCTCAGGTGGAGGTATCCAATATCCCCACTATTTGCATCTGTTTACAGTGCAAATTGCACCATTTGAAGGTCGGTGGTGTATATGGACCCCCATCTGCACGGTGCCATCGGGCCTCTGATACCAGTGTCAACAGATGTAAATCCATCCCAGCTGGGAGAAGGCCCTATCAACTAAGAGGGCCTCCGGGTGCGGTGACACCCCCCAAACCCCGCCCGAGACGCCACCTCGCCGTTCTCTTTGAGAAGATCCGGCAGCTTCGGGGCCTCAGTGGCGCAAACACCGCATGCCTTTTTCGTCTTAAAGATCTGGATTAAGGATATGTTTTCAGAAGGTGATGCTAGGGGGAAGGTGAACATATTGATTTACCGTTTGCCTTCTAATAATTCTAATAGGCCATCTCGTCCCTAACATTTGCCTAGCGCATTCTACCAAGTGTCTATGAGCTTCTATAGAACCGCTCCGTTTTCGTGCCTTTTGAAACGGGAAGTGCCCTTCTGGAAGATCTACAGTACCACTTTAACCAAATTCAGAAACATATAGAAGGAAGGTCGCTTTTAGCCACAATCTCCTCCCTCTCTCTCTCTACCAAAAGTATCCCCAAACACCAGCAAAACCAATGTCGCTCCGAATCCGGCAGGCTGTTCATGAAGATATGCAATATTATGATCCAAACTACCAGCAACGGTACTCTCTTCAAAAGTGTCTTGAACATTCATTGAACCAACATACATTGCCCCTGCATGGGTCCTTGTTCTATACCCCCAACTCTGCCGCTCCAGGACTGCGCACGTAATGCGCGATGCAGGAACCCAAGACCAGGGATTCACCGCTCCTGGGCGCTCGACGCCGAGAGTGGGGGTTTTGCCGGGTCTGCCCGGGGACCCCCTGAGTGAGTTCTGATGAAGTGAATTGGATACTTCTCATAGGCTATCAAAGGTATTCTGAAGGAGATTCAATTGGATAGATATCCTTTGAATTCCTTTGATAGTTTTGAGTGAAACCTGACATTGAACAAGGCATAAAAGGATATCAAAGGTATTCAAAGGTGGTCAATTCTGATGCAAAAACCTCCACAAAAAGGAGGTCAATTCTGATGCTGTATGAAGGGCAATGCGCAGCCTCCTGGGAATTTGGTGACATGAATGTGCCATTGCTGAGGTCAAGTCTTTGAGTTAAACATAGGAGTTACTTACACCTGCAAGCCGCAGCCCGCCTCTTCCAATTTATTCTCTTCAAGGTGTGGGGAAAGGGAGAGTACAAACTCTGGTTGCTCTTGCTGTTCTGGTCAGCGTTCCCAGTTTCCACAGGCGTTTATATAATGTGTTTCCACGTCAAGTGCGGGAGGAGCAATGCATGCCCCTCGTTATCAGGCAAGCGTCTGAACTAAATCGGCAGCAGTGATTGGCGCGCTTATCCGGGAGCCTGCAAAAAAGCAAGCACGAGGCACGAAGACCTTCTCCGTTCCTGTCATTTCAGTTCGTCCTTCAACCTAGTGGCATATTGGCAGCTGTTCCTTCTGCAGAGTTGGATAGAGGGGACCGTGAGAGGATTGTGAAGACCTCCATTGATTTCATAGACAAGCACTGCCCTATTCAGTTCTGATGCAGTTGCTGGACAAAATGTGCATCCTTTGCGGAACGGACTCCCCATAAGTTCCACAAACTCTTCCTGACTTCCCCTGCCCCCACCACTATGACTTGCTGGCTGCTATATGGCACGTGCTTGCGGCATCCGAAAGCGTTTGATGCTCGGTCACGCAGGCGCCTGCACCCGCAACGGCGGCAGCCTCCTCGGCCGCTTTGGCTTCCTTCTTGGCCGCGCGCTTCCTTAAGACGCGCGCGCGCGCTTGAAGCGCGCGATGTCAGGCAGTTGGGGAGGATGAGGTCCAGTCCTTGGAATCGGTCTAGAGCTTCTTTTGGGGCACGTCCCAGTCACCTGATCATACCTAATCCCATGGTGCGATGTGGGATGAAGTAGTAGTTCTTTTTGGCCAGCAACAACGCCCTGGATCAGGATCCAAATCCTATAGCCTGTGATGTGATGACTCCTGTGATGATCTTCTCCCAAAAAACATGGGTTTTGGCAGCACGGGTCTTGTGAGCCTTGTGAGCCTTGCAGTCTGATCGACCTAGAGACGCCAACGATGCCCCGAGTTGATTCCAAGAGTCCTCGGAATCGCTACCTACGTCCCAGGGACGCAAGGCTTCTTCGATTTGGCAGGATTTTTGGGCACACCCTGACCCGCCTGAACCTCCCAATCATCAGCACTTGGAAGATGTGACCAACCCATCCAGGATTTTGAGGGGAAAGGACGTGAACTTCAAGAGAAAAGGACCGAAACATCCTACTAGGTTCGATCCTGCTTGAACTCAAAGGCGCAAGTCTACATACTTCAGCCACACCACTCCCCACAACACTAGCAGATCCCCATCTCTCAAGTGTCATGTTCTAAGAAGCCTCTTCGTCTGCCCAATCTTGTGCCCACACTCAACGACCACCAAAGTGGCTGCTGATTCCGCTGCTGTTGCTTGGACATGGCGCCCCTCCCGTCACGCCAACGGGGCCTATACTATGCCTACTGAAGCTGTGGGCCGTCAAAATGCCATCGGGCCTTCTTGAGAGGAGTGTGAGGTTGGCGGGCTATGCAACCTACATCAACAACCCCTGAAACTGTGGGCATAGCCAAGAATCAATGGGAGCAAGTCCAAGTGCGCTAGCCGCTGCATGCCCAGGTTCATCAAAAAAGTCATCCCCTCCGGGAACTCCAGTTCCCGCATGTCAGGTCTACCCATGCAGAACTGAAGAGGAAGTGGATGATCTTGTGCAAAGAATGTCCTCATTTACTCGGAACAAACACCAAGCGATTTGCACCATCCGAGTGAAGCCGACATCACTCATCCCACTCGAAACGTCTTGTCTTAACGCAAATCCCGGAGGACCACGTGTCCCTACTCAGCCCTACTCTATCTCCTCAAACCGGACGACCACGTGCTTTCGTGTGCGCGGTCGGTTGGGTCTCCGAGGTCGACACTGGAGGATCTTCCTGCAACATGGTCTCGAGGACCTGTGAGGCGTGACACGGGATCCCAGCCGCGGCCCTCATCCGCCAAGCCGAAAGAACTGGAAAAAAAGAGATCGGGCCAGCCTGTCTGAATAGGGAGGTGGTGGAAAATATTGGCCAAATCAAACCTGTGTAGCAAGGACCTGACATACAAAACACATCAAAACACCATCCGAACCTCCTCACAAAACACCAGCTGAGTGCCCGCGCGGCCATTGCAGCCTTCAGATCGCCCACACGCCCTTGGTTTTGGGTGGATGCTATATGCAGAAACCGATGCAGGATCACCATTGGTTCAACAAAGGTGAGTCAACTTAACATGTCGTTTTTTAAATGTTGGCATCACAGATCTTGGCAGTGCTTCCACTGATCCAAATCAATGCACAACAATGCCGTCACATTCGGCCGCCTTCCGAATCGAACACTCATAGCAAGCCACCGTCGCAACTTTGTTTTCGAACCTCGACCTGTTGTATCCTGTTGTGTGTGGAGGGTCGGGCTGCCAATGAATCTCTTGTGCGTTTTCTGAGGTTTTCTTCAACCGAAGTGTCACAAAGCCGGGTCATATATGAGCAGGCCACGACTTCGTCATTTAGAGAATCACTTGAGACACGCTCATTGAAATATGTAATAACGTGATATATAATGGAGGTGGAAAACCACCATGGAAGTGGAAAATTGGATGAAAACAAACAGGGTGTGTTCCACTTCCATGATTATTTCAGGGAGTGAGGGAGCGTAGCCCGAACCCTCGTAGCGCTGGAGCAAGGTGCATTGAGGCGCGGACCGTAGCCCTTCAGCAGCGCAGTGCACACCTCAGACATGTCATCATTTCATGCGGTGTAAAAGATTGCAGTTCATGGCTCTGGCTCTCGCGTGGCCACACTTCAAATCTGTCGTAGAACTTCCCTCAAATGTACAAATCATAAAATGTGGCACAACCATGAGCAAAGTGACAAACACCAAGAAGCACTGTGTTTGAAGACGAAATGCAGCAAGTGCCTAACGCGACAACAGCTGCATTCATTTTCTGCCGGCTCTCTCCAACATATGAGCTTCAATATCGACTTTGCGCCACGCTTCGTCAGCAAACACCTCGTGTGCCTGTTGGCTTGACAGTCGAAACTCGTAACCGCCAGTGCAACTGACCATTCCGTTGACACAGCGCGAAATGCCACCAGTATTCACCTGAAGAAGCCGAGCAGCGCTGTTCATTGAAGGATGCCACTGCCACTCATCATTGCTGCCACAAAGTCTACTCTCCACCGCCTTGCCACTCCTGAGGCGGCAAGCTGGCATCGAATTGGCATAGCGGTGGGCAATGTTCTCAGCTGCCGTGACAAATTCTAAGTTTTCAACTGCATTGTTTTGCTTGTCGCCGTCTTTGTGATTCACTTGGTTACGCTCAGGGTTCGCAGGTGGCCCTAAGAAAGCAAATGCCACAAGCCGATGGACAGATTCACACCGCTTTTGCACGTGCAAGGTCATCAGGGTTTTTAAGTAACCTTGTCGGGTTTGATATCCTCTCGAAATTGCGCCAGCCTGAGACTGTATCCGGCCAAGCGAACTAACCATCCTTCCAGGCACTGGAGCACCTGACATTGGGTCATACATCTGTCGCCACTGCTCTCCCACCAAAGTTGCGCTTGCACCGCTGTGGGCCAGTTTAAACTCAAAACCCTTTGCTGGTTTTCCAAGCCGACAGGCAATTGAAATAGTCTGTATGGCTATGCTGACCTGTTCTGCTGCATGCTTCAAAGAGGGCGAAGTGGTCCAGCTTTGGGAACCAACAGGTCGCCACAGCACGGGCTTGGAGTGGTAGCTTGCGCTGGTGCATCTTGACGGATTCGCGTATGAATAGAGCATGTTCTGGCTGGAGGTGACGTATTCTAAGTTGTCCAAGTGGTTGTTGGATGGGTTACCATCGCGGTGGTGCACTTGCCATGCTGCTTCTGATGGTGGAGGCCCCAAGAACGCAAAAGCCACCAATCGGTGTACTTTAAACACGTGACCCGAGATTGTCACGTTGCGGTAGCCCGATGTATGAGCATGTCCCTCAGATATGACTCCCGCCAGGTTGCAGCAGCGCCCCCTAGAACTGACCTGCCAGCACCTCTGCTGCGTGGACAGCAGTCGAACAGCGCTAGGCCAGCAAATCTTAGCTATCTTAGCTGCACAAGCAGTGGAGACCTGTACAAATACCATGTGTGGCCCGCACGGTGATTTGACCGCACCTGGGGAGCACCACTGTTTTCACAGGGTTTAACAGAAATATAGATCCTGAGCCAAAAGACTGGAGCTGTGGGAGTCGGATAGCGAAAGTCTCAGGGGACCTTTGCATCGCCTGGATTGCACCACAAAGCCTCCTTCCAGCAAGGGCTTTCTACCAAAAAGCTACGAGGTAGTCATGTTGATCTTTCTCGGTGCGGTGCCACTTGTCTCGAGATTGTTCTTTGCAGAGGGGCTCAAATACCGAATGCAGTTGGGGGTGCATGCCCTGAAAAACATCTACAAGTAGAAATGGACAAATCTCCTACCTCTGAACTTTCGAACCGACCATGTGAACCGAGCGTTCTTCTGGGAATGCTTCAGGGCACTGTGCTTTATCAGAAATCCCTATGGGCGGCGATTGTCAGAGGTGGGTATATTCCATACGCTGGAGTTTTGAAACAGTTTTGGGAATGAACTCCTGGACGACCTTGCCAAAAGAATGTCCCACAATCTATCAGGCTTGATGCTGATGCCTTCCTTGTCAGGTTTGGAAGGCCTTCCAAAGGGAACAAGCCCAGCACCTACTCTACAATGATGCAACTGAAACTGGCCTCCAAAATAGCTACAAAAGTTGCAAAGGTATTTCAGAAACATCAATGGGCTTCACGTCCCTGCGAAGACAGCGTGGAGATGTGCCGCTCCGCAGTTCCACATAACTTGGCGTGAGGAAAGTCTGGTCCCTCGGCCTCCCCAAAAAATATCCACCACAAATCCATCAAAAGCAGGCCACCCGTGCTGGTCAGGCTTACTTCGTCCGCCGCGTGCCCTCAATCCCTCCGGCCGAGCCGCCACCACGTTAGGCTTGACATGGCCACGCATCTCTTCGAAGACTTGTGCCTCGGCCGCCGCAGAACCACCCCCGGCCGGGGATCGCATCACCACGGGTGGAAGAACCGGCCCACCGGCGATCGCCACACGACGAACACGATGAGGCCGAATATTCTCATAGAAAAGGTGGGTGTCGCCCAACTGCTTGAGATTTCCCACCCGGCTCCATCCACAAACTTGTGCTGTTCTGAGATCGAGTTCACCTGATGATACATTAGGTACATGCAACTGGCAACGGCTTCCTGTCAACTACACTTAAGGTATTGGCTCAAAATGGCCAATCTGGATTCAACCCAGGGATTGCCAACAGAGTTGAGTCAACCAAACATCAGAACCATGAATATCAATGAATGACAGGATAAATATGGTTAAATGGGTTCAAGAGTGGTTCAACCTATGTCCACGAAGCTTGAGAATGCAACACGCAATCCCTGAGGGCTGATGACTCGCCCCACCCTGCTGAGACCCCCTGGCTGCTCCTGCCATATCGCCGCCTGAGCAATTTGGATCGCTGTTGACCCCACGGCTGTTGACCCACGAAGTGGAGTGACCCTATGGTAATGATACCAAGGTGAATCGTTTCCAAACCTTGGCCGGATGTCAATGGTCTGTCTCTTCATCTCAACAAGAACCTCCAAGTGATCGGGGGCTTCCACCAGCCTGGGCTGGTACAAAGTAGGTTGATCGCCCTAAAGATCGGAGGTGCCGAAGATTCACCTGAAGCCTGAGAAGATTGTAGAGGGAGTTGTGCAGTCTGCGTGGTAGGGTTGCAGGTTCCACGCCTGATTTCAAGGTGTTGCTGACAGTTGACGGACGCAACACTCGTTGATGGATACTTGACTTGAGTGCTCGTGCACTGTGGTCAACTGACCAGCTGGGAGGTTTGGAGCTCTTGGAAGACATGTATTTATTCCAGCCCAAGGCGGCCACAGGTTCACACCCGAAAGAGGTGGGCTAGAAGAACAGAATGGCACCAAAAATAAACGCTCAAGGGCATGCCAAAGATATGGACGAGGCGCATGGTGTGAAAAACCTGAGGCAAGCACTGTTGACGTAGGCATTGATGAGGCTGGCGTATGCTTGCACACCTCGATCAACGACCATACTCTGCCAGAATGGGTGGTGCTCCCATGTTCCTGTCTCGGCGTTCTGTGTCTGCGCATGCTAGTTTTATTATATCATATAAATTTATAACATATGTAACATGTATATATTTTTGGAAAACATTAATAATGCCATGTAATGCATGTCAGGTTATCTACAGCTCTTCTCCTTAGAACGGCGACCGTCCAACCTCTAAGCCTAGGGACTCGGAGTCAAGTTCTTCGCCTTGATCTGATCAAAGGCTTTCACTGCCTTGGTCCGGCCGAGCACTCACATGCTGGAAGGCATCATGAAACCGGCACAGAATCTTGAACTGTCAGTTACTCTGCCTTCTTTCCCCCAGAAGTCTTTCCCAAGACGTCTGCGAAAAATAGGTGGTCGCCGTTTGGAAGGTGAAGGATCCTGGTGTCCAGAAGGTTGGAGGTTCGAACACAAGCGCACAAGAACTAGTAACAATGGCTGCAGAGTGGGTTGTCGACAAAGGCGAAATTATGCGAAATTTATGCAGACTTCGCACAGGATTCAGCTTGAGTTCAACACCTCGAGAACCGTGCCGGAGGTTTTCAGATCAAACACGAAAGATCCTGCATACATCCTTATAGGGCCCACACGTCCGTAATACCCGAAAACCGATCCCCATCAAACAGCCGTCGGACTCGAATGTTTGGAAAGCCCTTTCGGGCGCTCGATCGCCC